TTCCTCTGCAAAAACACATAAGACTCTAATTTTGTCCTAGTGTGGTAAAAACCATCCATCCCTCCAGAAAAGACAGTAAGATTGTATTTTTGTCCCAGTGTGGTAAAAAACTTCATGTACCGAGGACTGATGTCGTGTGCACTCTAGTTACACTTCCTGTCATGACCAGTGAAGTTGAGGTACAGTCTGGATCTCGTACTGAAGCACAAGGTTGATTCACATTTATCTTCCAGGTATCTCCCCATTTCAGCAGCATGACAGCATGTGCCCCTGTGCAGCACTGGGAACCCAGTGTGGGTGGAAGGCACAATATGTTGTGCATTCAATAATGCTCATGCTGCAAGTACTATCATGGACCTGTTGATAAAACCAACTGCTGCCACAGAGAGGACTAACAAATGAAACTTATGCATTCTTCAATAGCCACCACACCATTAAATATGGGAAGAAGAAGGATGGGTGTTAATCTGACGTTACTAACATCAGCCCTTCAGTACCTCTTGCTATTATGGGCTCACAAAGCAGGAAAAGTGTACATACAAAGATGCTGACTGAAAAAAGACAGTACATTACTGGAAGTTTCAGGTGTTATGAAGGAGGCAGCACAGAGGGATCTTCCGTTACAAGCAAAGAATTATCCACAACATTTACTATGAGTTGCACCCTCTTATTTGATTCTTCTGTTTTCTTTCTGACTTTTATTTGCACATTTTTAATTTGATCATACTGAGGGTTCGATCTCTCTTACCCCATGGAAATTCTGATACAATTTTTTTAGAGTGACAGAGATAGCAAGGCACCCTTAGGTATGAGCTCCCATAGCCGTACAGCAACTTGATCAACCATAAACAACAGAACCATATACACGTCTCTGCTGATGCAAGTTCTTTGCAGAATAGAAAAGGTGCAAGGGAGAAGGGTAGAAGCAAACCTCAAAAGCAGATTAATTGTAATTTCAAAAAACAAGAGCATAAGTTTTTTATAATGTATGCCACTAACAGCTGATGAAGAAAGTGCATTTTCAGTTATGCAAAACAACAGATCAAGATCTAATATTTTTGTGTACGGCAATAGTAATATCGGCACTTTTTAGAATATGCTATCCAAAAAATATTTTACTGTGGTACAAATAGAAAGACCTATGGTATGGCATATACATATATAGACCAATGGAGTTAAACCACATAAAAATACACATCCACTGGGAATCGAGGAGGCGTGGAAAGTCCAGAGGCAAAAAGGGGCTTTGATTTGGTGCATTTAGAGCAAATGCATTCTGCCTTCCAGTTTAAAGAGCATGTACACAGTCAAAGACACCATTACAGATTATTCCAACATGAAATTATTAGCAGTATAATGGTTATAGTTATATATTACAGATTTCAAAGCCAAATAAATCCTTTGCAGCGCTGTGAGAATTACGTAAGTTCTTGCATGCTAGGAAATTTATGCTTGGTCCAGAAATAACAAAACTCTAGGGGAAATGGCCTGCCTGCTGAGTTGCTGTAGGTCTTTGCTAAAATGCTGTTGAAGCCATTTGGATTCAAAATCCCTATTTACAGAAACATTTTTTTAACTAGACAACGGGTGAAATAAATTGATGCTCTAGAAAACTATATTACACTCTTTGCCAATTCTTCGCTATATATAACAGCTAACTCCCTACAGTATGTGTAATAGTGAAAGATAATTGTGTTGCTGCTGGAGAACAAGCAAAGTTTATCCTTCAGCAATATTTTGAGGATACATAAGAAGTCTATCACTAATACTGGAAAGATAAAACATTTAGTGGAAATGTACTCTGAGTTTGAGGAATGATATCCAGAGGTTTTGAAGGATTTTTTTTTCCTTTACTCCTTCTGCCTCTAGCAGAAGCTCTGAGTCAGGACTAATTTTCTAGCCTTCAGGTGACCTGCTGTGTTGCATACATAGGCAAGTTCTGACTCCTCTATGTGTTTCTACCCTGCCTTGCTCCTCCATCTCCCAGTGTGAGGGAGAATGATGCTTTCTGTCAACTAATTACCAGCCAGCTGATTCCTACTGACATCCCCATTTCAGTGGGCAGCTGACACTGTTTGAAAAATCCCAGATGCATTTATTTCAGTACTAAAGCCCATAAAAATGCAGTAAAGAGAGTCTTAGGCTTGTTTAGAGCACAAGTAAGAACTTATATCTGCATTAAGACTTTAGACAGCATATGGAGGAATATTAAAAACCTATTTTAAAAACAGGCTTAAAAAACTCACCACTTCCATAGGTCACACTAGGATTAATATAAAGGTCAAGTCATACTTAGACAATTTGAGGTTCTTTGCATAAGTGTGTGCGTGTGTGTGTGTGTGAGTGAGTGAGAGAGAGAGATTGAGAGCGATATTGAAAGAGAGAATGTGTGTATAGAGTCCAAGGTAACTCTGTTTCCTTGTCAGAGATAACATGGGGGAATCTGAGTTCAAGTCCAAGTGAGCTCTTTCCCCCTGTAGCAAATAGGTGCAGTAAAACCATCACAATGTTCAGTAATCACAGTTCTGGGAACTAAAAAATTCACCACAGTGCACTGGCCCTGTTACAGATGTAGTTGAAGAGAGTACTTAAACAGTGTCAGTGGCAATTTTCTATAATTGGTATGTCCAACTAGCCACCTACAGACTAAAATCACCAGTTTTGATACTTCTGGGCATCAGAACCAATGCCTGTAATTAGACGGACACAGGAAATCTTGACAAAATGGACTTGTCGTTGACCTATTAGTTTATTTCAAAAACCTTCTTTTCATTAAACTTACATACATCAGGGAATGTTGTAGGTATTTGATCCTTTCTCTGTTATTCAATAATGTGATATATGTCAAAGGCGGTCAAAGAAACTGAAGGGAACTAAAGTAAAAACTTCACTGACTAATCAAAGGAAACGCTTTTGTAGTTACATACTTCAAACAAAAGTGCACCACCGTTTTTCAGAACAAAACTGCTTAACTTTACCATGAAGGTAATTTAAAGAACATTTATTGCAGTCAACACTGACTGAAACTAAGAACCATTTTTTAAACAATTCTCTCATATAAGGCTTTTCTCAGCCTTAGGCATTTAAAGCTGCTCAGCTACTTAGGCGTTTAAAAGGTCAATTTGCAAGGCATTTTGGTTTGCTAATTTTCACAGTTAGCTAGAATCTTAAGTCATTTTCCAAATTCACTGTGAATCACCTCTAATTTTTCTAGTTCTAAGGAATTTAACAGAGTGCAAACTCTAAATCAGGGCAAACAGGCAAATTTATAATACTCTTGATTTTTTCACTCAAGCACACAGATTTTTGTTTCTATCCAAAGTATATAAAATGTCTTCAAGATTTTCTGTCCTTCTATCTTTTTCAGTAATAGTTTTGTAATAATGTCTGAGTAAACTTTGATTAATTGTTAATCTCTTCAAAGCCTTCATATATTGGGATTTCCCAACACTCACATCTAGAAAGGACCAGAAGTCTCAATGGGGCAAATTACTCTGAGCATGTTTTTGTCACGAAGGTAGCCACCATGGCATGATAAGGTGGGATTTATGGCTCTAATGCCTGCTTGCTCCAATACAAGCATGCCTGAGAAGGTACTGACACTTCCATTCAGGGTATATCGCTCAGAACACATGGCCTCCTGTTTTCTCTCTGCAAAAACAAAGTTGTGCAGAGGAAAGAAGAATAAGGCCCAAAAAGGAAGGAAAAAGGTGTGGATTCTCAATATGACTGGAGGAGGACAATAGATCACTATCAAATTAAGCACAACTAATTTTCCTTATATTGCCACACATACAATTCACTAGGACAAAAGCCTACACTCTCTCTGACTTCCTTTTTACATTCACATAGGAAGATGTGCACATTAATGGATCCTGGGATGATTTTGGAAATGCTTTTGAACACACTTTGTTTCTCCAGGAGAAGAAGAAAAGTTGCAAGACAAGATCAGGCTGATGTTGAAGGAGCGCCTTTTTACTCCTTTTAACCTAGACATGCTGTTTAAAGGTAACATTTGTCATCATTACCGCACTGTGCATCCAGCAACAGCCTAGAGAAGGGTGCAAAAATTTCAAGATGAAGGACGCTGTCTTTCTGAAAGTTCAGCAAGAGTCTGGGTAGCATCCGTATTTCTTTTATGCTGTGTGAAGGAACAAGCCAGGCTCTGTTCACGTCATTCAGATGGCCCATAACACTGAGTCAAGCGATGGCATACACGTACTTCCAACGCCACACGTCTAGGATTTCAGGCACCATTGCGATCATACCTCGATGCAATATTTCCGTACTAGATGCAGCTTGTTGCCAGAGTGCAAGTAATCTTTGTAACTGACTGCCACGAGTCAGTCCGGGAGCAGTAAATGAGCCAGTGGCTCAGGCACTCTAGTCTAGAAGAGTAAAAAAGGAGTGTGGCTGCAGTGCTGGGAACAACGGTCCTTGTTCTCCTTCCTTGAGTGAAAGTAAACAAGTCCATTGTTGCCTGACTTTGCCAAACCTCAAAAGCATAATGCTAGAAGGAAAAATAAGTTTTACAGAATTGAGCATAGACAACCCTTTTCTTTCCTTTGGAAATTGTATGTTACACTAGTTGAAACTACCAAAGTGTTTACAGTATGCTATATATATATAATGGCACATTTAAGCTTTTTAAAAGGATTGGAACATTTCAGGAATGTCTCTGGTGCTGAAAAAGGCTAATGTATTACAAACCATATAATATTTTAATTCAGAAAAAATATGTTTGGGTATTTTGACCTAGCATCATAAGGGTTAGGAAACCGAACGAGGATGCCATGAAGCATGACTGACAAATCAGTCAAGCTAGTCTGCTTCAGATACATATTGTGCAAGGCATTATCGCTGCAATCAGTCACAAAAATGCATATTTAGTTTTTGTACATTAAATACTACACCTGTGGGGGTATGTAAAAGATATACAAAATATAAATATCATCAGGACTGTATATTTCAAACTTTTTAAAATAAACACAAAGTATATATACGTAGACATACAGGTTGTAATTTCAATGTCAACACTAGCACAGTTTGTCTCTTCTAAATACAGGCCTGTATACTTCCTAGTCCAACACATGCACCTACGAACACATGATCATGCATACAGCTTTACGTTCTGCTGTTTGCAGAAGAGTCAGAATATACAGCACTATACATCATTTCAACTCAAAATTGATTGGCAAATTAAGGAAGATGCCATTCAAAAGAAATTCCTTGTGAGCTATTACCAAAAAAAACAGAGAAAACCAGGGGTATAGTTATTTCATCTCAATAAAAACACTGAAGACCATGGTGATGACCTAAGATTCAAAACTCTTTGTCTGGCATGTGGTGGGGGTCACTCTTGGACAAGATACAACAGTGTAGAACTGGTTGCTATAACACATACCCAACACAGTTATAATGAGGCATATGAGAGCTTTCACAACACCATCCAACCCAGCTCTGGGTTCAGACTACTGAGGTCTCTGACCGAAAGGAGACAGAGCAGTTGTATGCCGTTCTTCTCACAGCAGGTGGTGCTGACGGTGATCTGGATGCCCATCTGGAAGGTAAGCGTCGATTTGCTGGCCGAGCAGGCCGGGAGAAACTCTTCCCACTTGAACATTTAGCTGGCACAGATATCTAGAACACAAAGGCAATTCCTTGCTTTAACAAGTTACGGCTTTTGTGGAATGCAGTGGGAATGCAGGAAGACATTTGGGGTGACCTCAGAACAGGTGGTCTGAAGCTATTAAAAGGAGCACAGTAATGCGCAGAATGCAAAAGAACAGCTATTTCTATGTATAGGGATTCTCACATCAGTTGCAGTTTGAAATATATGGAGACAAGTGTCAGACACAAGGAAAGGTATAAAGTGTTAATGCAAGCCAAAACTGACATTCACTTCTCATGTCTTTTTATTTTTGGAAGTTTTGTGAATGAACTCTGCATACTGTTCTAACCATAGAACTCAGAATACCACCTTGCATTACTGGACTATGATCTAAATACTTTTCAGGTATTTTTGATAGATCTTATTCCAGCAGTCACATCTTGCTAAGAACTCTGTTTCCATTAGCGCAATGTGAAGCAGTTTACACTTGGTAACTAATTCAGAATGGTTATGTATTAGAGCAGTGTCATGTCTACATGCAGAGCCTTATATACAGAGGAAAACCAATGGATTTTGATCATAGCTACAGTGATATAAATTGGAAATAATGAAAAGAAACCAAATGTCTCACGCCATATATAGTTCTTTACATCTCTGTGATATGAGTGCTGCTGGACCTAAAACGGTACCCTCTAATCAGGGAATAGTCTGCATTTAGTTTATACATATAGAAAGGACAACATAAAGTGTAAGCCTATGAAGAAAAAAAATGCAATTGGCTTAGTAAAGTTACTCTGGGCTTACATCAGTGTAAACTCAATCATTATCTTGTCATTATTTCTTCTTTACATATTCATTGATGAAACTTTTTTCCTATAAAAGTTCATCAGATGAAAAAGAAATCAGAAGCTTCAAGAGTTTTTTTTGTTGCTGTGCTGTAGCAAAGATGTGTCTGCTAAGCAAGATGTTGCATCACTGCAAGGCTGTCAGAAAGACATGCAGAATAAAATCTGCATGGTCGGATTCTCAGCTGTTTAAATTCACATAGCTCCACTGAAGTCTATGAATTTGTGACAGTTTAAAGCACAGCAGTTGACAGTCTGAACCCATTTAAGTTTCTCAGCTCCAAACACATTTGCCTTCTCTTTTCTGAGATGCTAAGGAGCATATCTCTTTGTGTTCATTGGCCAAGGAGCTCTTCAGGAAAAATGATTTTTCTTTCTTTATAGCCTTTTACAGAACCTGCATCTTATAGTGTATTTTCAAAACCATCTGTTTCTCCTTTCATTAAGAAAGAATGTTGGCAAAGACAATATTTCTAAACTTCTGCAACTAAAATTCAGCCAAATATAAATTAATTAGTCATGCCATACTCTTCTGTTTCTGTGAGCCTATGCTTGAATATATAGGAGAAGACTTAAACTGAGACATAAGTAAGAAGAGGTCACTTTATAACTGGAAACTTTGTGGAGCTGCAAAACCCCTTTCCATTGGCAGTTCCATGGAAACTGAGCCAAGTAGCATCCAGGACGCTGAAGAATGCTATCTAAGCCCTCTAGGGTTGTAACATGGCCAAATGTGTTTAAGCCTTTTGGGAAGGCTTGTGAAACAACTTGTCAACTAAAGAAAGGAGGGAGGGAGTTAAAACCCAATTGCAGTTCTCACTAGTTCAATCCTTGAATAACTGCACTGCAGTGACAAACTAGCTTTACACAACAGCAGCAGAGATCAGAATCTGGCACACATCCTCACTGGTCATCTTACTGACATGCTTCTGCTCTCCCACAACTCTATTATCTTCAGAGGAATTACTCCTGATTCAACCAGATCCTGGCCTAAAAGTGTCTATTTTTACATAATTATTTACAATATCGTATTAGCCTGCCTAATTTTAGAATCTGAGGAGTTTGGTATGAAACTGGATTGTTTTGTTCTTGCCATTCTTATGAACCTTACCTCTGGTAACTTCTGTCTCTCTTTTCCTTGCTTGAGTTGCTGCCCAATATGCCTGGCTGAATTCCTCGGAAATTCTTGCTTTTCTTGCTCAATCTGGAGCATTTCTAAATACTGACTCAATGTCTCACAACCCACATCGGTGAATTCAGAATTTGCCCATGTCCACTTATCTTTGCAGCATTTCACATTACACGGAGAAGTCACTGTTGATTTTTCATAGTTTTGCAAAAGCTTTTCAACAACACCATAGTTTGACCTTGAGTCAGCTGAACGCGGGCGACCGGATAAATTACTTGGTCTCCAGTCATGCTCATGAAGCATGTGCCTATAACCACTAGTATTTGGAGGTCCATTTATTTGCTTTTGTTGCCCTGCCATTCTGACAGCTTTGCTGGGATTGCTAGTTTCTTGCTCCTTCGCTGCAGAGAATTTGGGATTTGAAACACAAGACGTATTTACAGTTTCTGTCCTGCTAATAGCAGAGTCACACAGTAGGCCACAGGGTTTGAGATCTTCTGATGCTGTTCGAGACACCTGGTTTTCCTGCAAAGCATTGTTACATTTATCTGTGTGAAATACAGTCCGGTTAAACTCATCGATCTTTGCTGCTAAAGTTTCATTTCTTTGGGTCTTTCCCAAAGTATACCTGGAGTCTCCTAAAAGATCATTGTGCAGAGCAGCAGAGGCATAAAAGTCATTACTGTAATAAGGACTGCTGTGAGACTTGGGATTTTGCTTCTGATGCGTCTTGTTGCTTTGAGCCATATTTCCATCTGAACAACTCTTTTGGGCTGACAGTGGGGAAGGTTCACTTTTACTTTCTTTTCCAAGTTTGCCTACATCATATGCCCATGTGTTGTGGCAGAAACTTGTTGGTACATTGCACTCAGTTTTGGTTACAGGTATTGCAGTAGTTACAATCACAGGACCTTTCACAGCCTGCCCTTCACTTGCACAGGGTGCCGCAGTTTCATTCTGGTTTATGGGTGAAGGATTCATCAGTTGCCTTCCACTCCTAAAGTCCCGAGCCTTGCAATTGCTTTTGATGCCCGGATCTCTTATTGGTGCCTCAGAAAGCTGTACAACTGCAGAAAGTGAGTTTGTTAGGTGTCGAGAAGTGCTCCGTGGAGGAACTGGTGGAGCTTCTTTCTTTTGCCAAGATCTGAAGTCTGTTCCTCTGTCACCAGTAAGACTACCATAAGACATGTCCTTCAAAGCTTTATTGGAGCTCATCAGATTCTTCCTATTATTATGTTCCTCTGTTTCAAAAGCAACTGAAGTCTGTGATTCATTGCTGGACACATGGTTCATCTCAGGCAGAATAACTGTGTTTTGTGTTTCCTCAGATTCCCCCAGGAAAGGAAGCGACTTCATTCTGGACATAAAAGGAGAGGTGTTTTAGGTATGAGCAATAAGGGTATTCTCTCAGTGGACCTTGGCATAGATTCATTTTCCTCATGAGCATGTGTTTTAACACTGGCTGCTTAAAAAGATTTGGGATCAGTTTTGCTGCAGCTGATACACCTGGAATATTTGAAACATACATGAAGAATTTAAAGAAAGCTCAACAAAGGGAATCCTGTATTTCTTTCCCTTGCCACTAAAATTCTTTTTCTGAGTTTTTGTGGATGATTGCTTGTTTTCTTACCTATCCTACTGTAAGGACGGTTCTAATGACTCCAGTGAGAGTCCACTTGACTATGAACTGAATGAAGAAAGCTTTAGAACATAGTACTTCCCTTGTGTAGGTTTCCTAACATTACACACGACAGTATGAATGTGTATTTTGAGATCTGATAAAAAATCACCTTTCTGAGCCAGGATTTAGAAACTATGAATCAGTTATAAGTCTGTTTGCTTCAAAAATACAAACAGTAACCTAGCCACAAAAATACATTTGTGACAGACAGCCAACCGATTGCATGGGGGAGAGTAAGAAGACTGTCTCCTCTTTGGGAGCACCTGAGAAGAGCTTGTCATGATGCAGACTTCCATGGGGTGCGCTCTGTCACACCATGGGTTCAGTCATACCTTCTGAGAATCTCTGCACAATTTGAGAGGAAGACTGGTATTTAGCTTGCTAAAGGAGACCGTGAACACTGAACTCTTATCAGATGGTGGAATATTAATTTGCCATACTTTTAAGGATCTGGCATCTTTCCATTAGTACAAATGTATAGTTACTCTTCCTTGTTCTTGTTTTCTCTGCACTCTTGGATTATCAGTCCCTGACACATCCCCACACTTAAGGCTAGATCTGGGCTTAATGTAAGAAACCTTCCAGCCTGACAAACCCATACAGTGTTGTATAAAACTGCATGGAAATGGGACCAGGGCAGACAGAAATATCTGTTCACTTTCCTAATCCTCTACATAGCGAATAGCAACAAGTACAATTTCATCTCATATAAATACCAAATTCATTTTGTAGGTTCTATAGATAAACTCCATTTTGCTAGTAAAACATGTCCTTGTATCATATTTCAGTATATTTCATTTGAATGTTTTATGCTGAGCACTGAAACACTAGGAGTATAGGAACTGCCCAACTCCTAATAAAATCAACAGCAAACTCCCCTTCAAAATGAACAGCAGCACAATCTTATTATTCATTTTCTTTCTCTAACATAAAGAGCCCAAATGTGTTTTACCTTCTGTGGTTGGACTTCTTTCGAATTTCCTCTTGATAGCTGCATAATTCTTCACTGACTCTGGCAAGTTCTTTAAGAGCCTTTATAAATATAAAAACAGTCCCTTAATGTAAGCCATTTCAATGATATCTCCAGAACTATTTTGAAACTTGTGGTGATTTGCATTTAAGATTCACAGCAGAGGAAAGTAGCACAAGGAAAGAAACAAAAATGCCCCCAGGTTATGAATGGAGGTAAAAAGCATGCTGTTAACACACTTAGACAGTGGGAAGACACTCATCAATACCAAACTGAGGAGGAAGTAGAGACAGTGCCTTACTGGAAAGCTAGAAACAGGGAGATCAGTTCTTTAGGTTAACCTGACAGGCCAAACCCTCACCCTTGTAATAGAAACATGCTCATATTTTACTTACTACATTGAGATCACCAATATAATTCTTGGTATTTTTCTTGGAACTTTTGGTGCTGAGACTGTCTTCAGGTTCCTCACGGTTCTCACTGGCCAGATTGTCCACTAATAGAGTATTGTTTCTGCTCTTGGCTCTGGTTTCTTTACATTCATATCCTGTTTTACTGCACAAACTCCCTTTTTCCATCCTGTCATTTGCCACATTGTGTTGATAGTTCAGCTCCACTGTGCCACTCTCTTCTGAAGTAGGGGAATGCATGGACAGCTGCAGCATCTTGCTCTGAATGGCTTTATTATCATGGACATTCATATTGTTCTCCCTTCGAAGTTTTACCTCCTGGTAAAGCTGAAAAAAGCAATAGAACCTCCTGTTGAATCGTGGTAATGTCATGAACTTTATGGTAAAAAAGACATAATCAACTTCTGTTTTGAATGAAGCTTCACTCAGTAGCACGAAGTAGAAAGATTTCATGCATGTGTTTGTAAGTAGGAAAGTGCTGAGTCACACAGAGCAATAGTCCACAGACCATTAGTCACAGGATGAGGAAAGGGCTGTTACCACTCACAAACTCTTTGCCATGGTTTTAATGTATGGCTTCCACCCAGTGGATGGAAATGGAAGAGATGTCATGAGGTGAGGCCTTGAGCCAGAAGCTGTAAGGTTGTCTTCCAAGTAATATCAGCACACTACATGGCGAGCACAGCCCTGATCTGATGGATGGGGAATGTGAGGGAGGGAGAGGGCTCTGGCTATGTTACAGCCTGTTAAAATATATTAGTTTAAGGAGGGAAAGTGAATTCTCATCACATACAGTGCCATCTACACTAGAGCAGACTCTTCTGGTTCTCAGGCAAGTGGAATTCTTCCCTATGATTATAGTGATAAATCAGTACTGCAGAGTGGTATTATTTGGCAATGTGCTGTCACCCTCTTATCTTCTTTCATGCTATCTGCTGAGATCCAGCGGCTTCATTACTAAATGAAAAGGTGTAAAATCCTGTCACCCAGCACATTCAAACTCAGGAACTGTGATAAATTATAAATTAGAAAAAATAGCAACATCATAAAAACCTCTTCTGCTTGCAGTAACATTTCCAGTGCCAAGAATCCCACAGCTCTTTATAAACAATCATTCTTAACTTGCTCTTACGATGAAAGCACAGAGCAGGCACCTCTGAATGGCCATCTGTCTGCTCTCTTGCAGTGCACAAGGCCAACACAGCAGCTTTTGGAAGGACAGTGAAAAAGTATAACAACACGAAGAACATGTGGCCATTTCATGGGTAGAGCTGTGGGTTGTCATGTTCAGAGACTTGACACTTGGCCTGGGCTTTCAGATTTCACTCCCAAAGCCCAGCTGCTCATGAAACCTAAAGGCTGAACTTTGTAATTTCCAAGAAATGAAGGCCTCATACGGACTCAGCACAGCAGTAAGAAGGAAGGATAACACTCATAACACAGCAACATAATCTCCTAAACCACACAGGTCTTCCTGGAGGATTCCAAGAATTAAGTTAGGTTTTGGTGGGCTAGAGAAAACTACCAAATAAAAATACAAGCTGATAAGATAGCACAAGTTTTATGGAGGAAACCCCTCTACAAATGATAGCACTGAAAAAGATATCTCCCCTTTTCTCCTGCCATACTGGTGAAGAAATGTCAGACAACTGAAATCAAGGGCAGCTATAGACATAGATTAAAAAGGAACCTTAGGATACCAATAACCTTGAGGTATCATCTTCAGTTTTATCTGGCCCTGCAGTACCTAGCAATTTGCTTCATTCTCTTCCCCTCAGCTCCATTCCAGTCTTTATCTGTTTTTCTGTCTCCGTCACACTTTCCTAATCTATTTGCTAATAAAGAACATGGAAAAATATGGTCTTCACTGCCATTTTGAGGACTACTAATAGCCAGAATACCTTTTCCCAACACATTAGCATCACTCCAGAACAAAGTAAAATTCAAATATACACACAGATCCCATTAATAACTTTTGAAGCATTTTCACCTTGGTGGTGAAATTAGGTAAGACAGTACAGAAATGTCCTAATGCAAAAGACAAAATATGGCTTTCATACTAAGACTATCATACCAAAATCTGCCAGAATGGCAGGTAAAATCTGAGAGAGCTGACATTATGGAGTAATGCTGCAGGCTGGTTTAACGGTCAGTGTATGGCTGCAATTCATTTGACTCTGATTATTTTCCTTCTCCTGCTTTCATGTGAGCAATCTCTGCCATACATTCCCGTGTTGCTGAGCCACAAGATGATGTTGGCAGAAAGCAAGCAAAACTACTCCATGTGTATATTAGAATGAAAAATGTGGAAAGCTCAGAGGTGAAAAACTTGTTTCTATATGTTGCCAAGGCAGATTCAATTTATGCACTGCAGAGTGCCAGAAGGTTCTGCTGCAGTGACAATCTGGGGATAAAAGAGTAATAAATAATTACCTAAACTATTTCTAGGAGGAGATGCACTAGAAATGGAAGAAAGTGTTTGTTACTATGTGTAAACACAAGTGGTGTCAGGACTTCCATGCTATTTACGATAGCCATTTTCCCTACTAAAAGCTGCCCATAAATGGAGCAGGTTCTAGCCAGAATGACTCTGCATCATGCAGCGTTTAATGTATGACGTTCTTTTTAACATTACCATTTACCCAGGACATCTATGCCATGTAATTCCTTTTCTTGCCAGAGAATTATGATACCTAGATTTTTTGTTACTAAATATGCATTTTCCTAAACCCCATATATGCAGTTGTTCAGCAAATCCATACTCGAAAAAAACATGTAAAAAAACAAGCAGTGTGGCTCAAGCCCAGCCGAAGCGGCAGCAGTATGTACAGACAACAATATCATAGGAAACTTCACACAAAGTGACCTTTAGCCTCCTGCTTTGTATTTGTGAGCATGAAATGAGCAACTGCAAATACTGCTTAACCCCAGGCTTTGCATCCTACCATCAGCTATTAGAAACTACCAGTGACAGATAAGAAATAGGATGTAATTCAGAAAAAAAAAAATGAAGTGACTCCTAGTCACTGATAAAACTCAAGTGAAAATGTTAGTGTTTAGAGTTTATTTAAAAGTACCTCTTCTATTTTCTTCTGCATGACTTTCCATTGACATTCCCATTCCTTCCTTTCATTGTCAAATCTCTCCAGCAACTCCATCTTCTCTTTATTCCAGTTCCTCTCAGTATTCTCCAGTTGTTTACGCAGGTCCATGGTTACAGTCTGTGTAACAGCAAGAAGATAGCTCTGGTGTTTTTCTTTCTTCCCTGAATGTTTCCTGGAAGTTTATCAGAATAATTCTTACTTATGTTTGATTCTAGCTGTCAGGAAAAAAAATAACCAAGCAAAACCCCAAAGTAATTAACTGAAATGTGCTTGCAGGAGACAGTATCACACAAATGCATGAAATACATCTGGAGTGTGACTGGAATATGGATGAACTAAGCATTACAGGACACAAACCCAATGGTAGAGAGGCTAAATCTGGAAAGAGGAGGGGGGACACACATCCAGCATCAGTATTCAAGAGTATCTGCCACAGTGGGCTCTGTACCATGGCCTCTTCGCATCTTTAACATTACTTTTCACTATAAAGCTGTTTTCAATGAAATTCAAGTCTGCAAAATATTGAATGGCACCTCAGGACCTTGGGATCCTGCAACATCAGCCCTTGAGGGTGAAAGCTATTTTTACGTTTGTTCTAAAGACAACTGCAAGTGTAAAGGTATCATGATTCCTTGTGCACTCCTTTCACACATGCATGTAGCATGACACAGACTGTGACATTCTTTTTGCAATTGAAGACTGTAAACTTGATACATGCAGAAATTTCTTATGGCTGTACAAATGCTTTAGAATATATGAAGGAAAACAGGAAAAGAAACCTAGTAACAGGTAACATATATATAGTAGAAAGCATCATTCTACTATATAAAGGACTATAGATCACTATAAAGAGTTCACATATTTTGTAGTTACAGATCTAAATCTATAAATGTTCATTCCAGGTCCAGCATAGGGAAAACGAGAAATTATTCTCCAACAGCATTAACTAAAATCTAGTTAAAAACCTTGCTCAGAATATTTAATTTATTTGTGCTTTGGATTCTCCTTCCCCTTCAGAAGTCTTTAGTATCTTAGTATCCGAATGAAAAATTAGTAATCGAACCACTAAATATGTATATTCTAAGGGAAATATTTTGGATATGCTTATCTGACTTAAGAGCAAAACAGTTACAGATTTTATGGGCCTGGTTTTCCTCCTGCTTTCTTAAGCTTTAGAATAGAAACTCCACTACCATCAGCACATTTACAATGCCAGCAAGGCCAAAATTCATGCTACTTGAGTTTGTTAACGTTGGCTCTCAAAGCCAGCTGTAGTGTTACTTAGGTGGACGTAGAATCTAGTTCTAGTCACAAAATGCCTCTGCATTGCTTTGGTCTCCTGCCAGAAACCAAGTGTATTTGTGCAGGCAAATGTGAGTTAACTAGGGCTAAGTCCAGTTTATCTTTCTGGAATTTGTTCATTTCCCTGACTGATGGTCAGCAATTTTCAACTCATAGGAACTGCCCATTTTATTGCCCACATTTTTTTTGATATAGTGAAAATTCATTCTTGAGCTTCAGTCAAAGTGCTTCCCCATCCTGTATATTTTATTGGACAAGTCTTGTTGATTCAGCTGTGGCTACTGTGTAATTACTGCTTACCAATGTCTGCATTATTTCAGCTGCCTGGGAAGATGATGCCAAACTTGGAGTCAGCTTCTTTCAAGAACAAGTAAGCAGAAGAGCTCAGCTGAAGCCCAACAGGTAACTTAGGGCTTTGGGTCATAGGAAGTCCTGCTACAGGATCTCTCAACTGACAGCCATCATGGGCTCAATCCTAATTCAACGGTTGCAATACTGTTTAACACAAGCAATTTTGGACAGAGGACTTGGAGAATAAGCTGACTATTCTTCAAATGTCTCTGTCAGCCCATTTCACAAAGGTGTAACCATGTCACCATGTAACCTGCTATTGGAGCTTACTCTTTTAAACTGACTCACTGAGCCTTGAAGCTCTGAAATGGCAATTGTCCCTCAACTATCTACAAACAGATTTCAGACCCTTCTTCTTCCACCTGCCTAAAATCATACAGGGCAGCTTTATAAAAACAAAATTCCTTGAAACTAAGAGCTGCTGAAAGACAACTCAGCATTATTATCACAAAAGAAGTAAAGCACTGCTTTGCTCATGGCTTATTAAGGAAGGCAGCCAGGCTATAAAGACTGTACCTCTCCAGGCCAATATTTCAGCTTTGTGCCAGACTGCAGGAAGTGTAGACCAAAACAATTCACAAAAAAATTTCACTGTGCTTATGACTTGTTACAATCTAAACATCTATTGCTAACAAACTTTTTCAATTAAAAAAAACCCCAAACATTTCAATACCTTCTCACTTTGCTAATTCAAAGGTTGCAATTTTTAGTACAGTCATTTTATTTTTTTGGGAGGGCTACATTTATGTCTTTATAACCTTTCAAGACATTTCTGAGAAATAAACAAAAGTTAACTCTGCTCCACTAGAATCCTCCAAATACATGTCAGAAAGAAACAGAAAAATGTATAAGCACTATAAAGACATTAACAAGACAGACAAGCATAATCTGTCTACAACTTGCACAAATGGTGATTTTGCTAGTGCACTACAAGTAATAACAGTCATGCTTCAATCAGCAGCATATTACTAGAAAGTAAGTTAATACAATAGAGCATTTTTTTTTACACATATAGGAATAGATATATGATATGTTCTCATTTTAAGCATGCATATAGCATTGAAAAGGCCCCTGGTGGTTTCCTAGTGCTGGGAAAAACTACTGCCATGTTTGCATTCATCTTAACAGTTTCCAAGTTGTTTCATATGGGACTTTAATTATAAAAAGAGATTGGAGACCATCAAAATGAAATCAAGTCTTGGAGGAGGTTGGTTACAGAAGTTACAGATAGTCACTTGCAGCTTTAAGATCCACTAAAAGCTTATATTGTTTCTTATGCTTCTCCAATTTCCTCTTGACATAAAATCTGAGAAGAAAACTCCTGTTTATTGATGTTAGCAGCTGGATGACTATAGAGTTTTGCTGCTATTGTTCAGTGGATAAATTCCTCAGAGAGTTTTAACTCCTATTTCTATTACTCTCTCCTTTTTATTCTTCATGTTTGTTTGGTTTGGTTGGGTTTGGTTTGGTTTTGGGTTTTTTTAGGGGGGGCTGGGGGCTGCTTGAGTTTTTTTGAGCAATAAAATCCAGTTTGTAGTCCTGGTAGTATCCCCTCTGTCTGTATAGTGCACCAAGATGGCCCCATGGATATTTCACATGGCTTAAGCAAACCAAAGAGATGTAAAATTCCACATTACAATTTGCTGTGTGGATCAGAACAGTATCTGTGCTCTCACAGTATTGGCACTTTCTGCATGTCCTAGACAAGGTCAGAAGCTCATTACAGCAATCAAATGCAAGCAAATAATCAATTTTGTCTACATCTGCTGCATTTTCCCTTAACTCTTTTTTTTTAGCCCTCCCTCCTTCCAAGTAAAAAATGTTTTAAGCAACTATTTTATGTTAATGCTATTATTCCCCCATGTTTTACCTGTGCCCTTTCTATCCACATACTAAATGTGCAAAATAGTTTGCAACCAGCCTCTGCAAACTTCTGAAAATAATCTGCAGTGACATCAGCTATGTTATTTGTCAACAGAGATTAATTAGATTGGATATACACAACCATTCAGATACACAAATCTTTCCTTGATTTTACAGAAGGAATAAAGCAATTAATTTCTATTTCCAACAAAGTGCTCTATTTTGGATGACTAAGAAAATTGTAAATTTAGGTATTTGTTCAATTATAGAAGTTTGCCATGTGTCACATTACTGTGCACTTTATACATTAAAAGAAGCTACAATTCAGTAAGAAAGGGAAAGAAAGAGAGAAAGAGAGAAAGAGAGAAAGAGAAAGAGAGAAAGAGAGAAAGAAAGAGAAAGAGAGAAAGAAAGAGAAAGAGAGAAAGAAAGAGAGAGAGAAAGAGAGAAAGAAAGAGAGAAAGAGAGAGAGAAAGAGAGAAAGAAAGAGAGAAAGAAAGAGAGAAAAAAGACTCCAGTGCTCACAATGCTACCTGTCATCCCTCTTCTGCTGATATGTGTGCTTGCTCTGAAGAAACTGACTGAACTAATAAAGTCTTTCTCTGAGAGTAAAGATCACATATAACACTCAAGAACACTACATTACATATAAATAACATTAGACAGATGTTTAAATGACTCTTAACTGTTCAAGAACACTGATTTAAAATAAACCATAATCATACCTTTCATGGAATAAGAAATCCTTTAGAAGTTTTTCAGTCCATTTCTAAACAGCAGTGAAAGCAATGAAATGCATAGCTAGCTGGGCTCCAGTTCTGTGAATCTTGATCTTTAAAAGAAATAAGTAAGCTGAGCAAGATACAACCTTTCAACTGCTGCAGCATTTGCAACTCTCTTTGAATAACTCCGCAACTTTTGCAAACTGAAAAACAGTTCCCTTCAGCGTCATCCCAGCAGCTGGCTTCCATGTGACGTCAGTGCACGGAGGATGGTTTTAAAGCCATCTCTTCCAACCCCCAGCTTTGTAACTTTATATCTCCTCGTATTTTGTGTAAACAACTCCAAGTCCAGGACATTTTTAGGTTTTATAGTGCAGTCCAGTATTTAAAGCTTGCCAAAGCAGCCAGCATTAATATTAAAGCTATGACAATAGGCAATTTTAGATTTCTTTTATTAGTGTCCATGTTGTAAAGGAAGATTCTTTGCTGCCTTCCAGACCTAGTTTTCAGGGTTATATTTTTCAGTATGATCATTCTGAGCTTTGCAACTTGATCCTCATAAACTGCTTCACAGAGGGAGTTTGTTTAAAGCAGCAGTGCGGCTGGTTGATGGCTATCTTAAAAAAGCTAAAAGCAAACCACTCCTCTCTAAAATCTTTTTCTGTATCCTAAATATGCTATCACTTACAAAAGTGCAGAATTATTGGGCACTGTGTAATCCTACTGTCTTGCATTCTGGGAATGGTGATAATGGTTTCTTTGGGATATACCCAAATAGTCCTACTACTTCATATGGTTTCTGGATACCAGTCTGTTAAGATACTTTGAGTCTCAGCAAAGCACTTGAAATTGGATGGAGAATCTGCCTTG